AAGAGCCTTGGTGAGAGAGGTACAGAAGAACCCAAAGATGACTGTGGCTGAGCTCCAGAGATGCAGTCGGGAGATGGGAGAAAGTTGTAGAAAGTCAACCATCACTGCAGCCCTCCACCAGTCGGGGCTTTATGGCAGAGTGGCCCGATGGAAGCCTCTCCTCAGTGCAAGACACATGAAAGCCCGCATGGAGATTTTGTATTTCTATAAGTGGGGTCAAATTATGGAATGATTTAAGTGTGGACATGAAAAACAGTACTAGAACTGAGGAGTTTAAATATAAATATAAATGTATGTGTCATTCAAGATATATGCAAGAGTTACAGATTTAATCAAAAATCATGAAGGAATCACTCTGTTTTAAGTTTTCTGTGTATCACTTGTTAGTGAAGAAGAGAATCAACTATGTAGAGATATTGCTTGCAGCCAATGCATGAAATTTTTTGTATAAGATGATGTTCTGGGGTAGGACTGGATAAGTCTGACTTCTTCCTACTCCATTCAAACATGTGCGGGTATAAGCAAACTGATTCTTGATTAGCAGTGGTTGGATTGTGTAATTATAATTATGTGTGTGTTGATGTCATTGTTCTGCATGTTTGAAAGAATAAATCAAATCAAATCAACTCTTTGTTGGCATTAATGGACGAAACGTGGCAATATCAATAGGACATGCACAGAGAAACCAGTGCATGAGTTTTGTGCTAAGTCTGGTGTTTATTGTTGTGCATGCTGTTTGTTCTCCAATCTGCAGGGCTCTGGGTGAACCTGTCTCTGTTCCCAGTCATGGCTGGCCTGGCCCTCTGCACAGCCACTGAGATGAGTTTCAACATGCTCGGCTTCTCCGCTGCTCTCTCCACCAACATCATGGACTGGTACTGCAGCACTCGGCAGAGCTTTTCATTCCACATCAGTGTGATGCTTTATTTAACCATTTGTTTCTGATCTCAGCTTGCAGAACGTATTCTCCAAAAAACTGCTAAGTGGAGACACGTACAGGTTCAGGTAAAAGACTGATTCTTCCTGTTTATAACCATAAAATGAAACATATCTGTGCTATAAAAATTCTCATTTAACTGAGTCATTTCAGCCCTCCAGAGCTGCAGTTCTACACCAGTGCAGCAGCAGTCATGATGCTTATTCCTGCTTGGACGTTCCTTCTGGTATGTTAAGACAGTTCTTTGCTGCAGTTATTGTTGTATTAAATTACTGTTACAACTAGGACAGTATATTTACAGCATGTAATATACCTAAAATCTGTAGTTATGTGTGGAGTAAATGTTCTTACATAGAAAAGCAGAATGACAATTGACAATGAATTGAATGTTAGACCATAGGGTAGCAAAAACCAGGCAGGAATCTGTGAACACATTTGTTTATAGTTTATTAATATATAATTAAGGACTAAAGGTCAAGGTTGATGCTCCAGTCTTGAGGCTGATGGTTATTGCACTCCATCTCTAGGATATTCCAGTGATTGGGAAGAGCAGACGGAGCTTCACTTTCAATCCAGACATTATCCTATTGCTGCTTTTCGACGGTGGCCTCTTCCACTTGCAGAGTGTCACTGCCTATGCACTCATGGGACGGATATCCCCTGTTACCTTCAGGTAGGGGACAGGCACAGAACCCATCTTCATCTGCATTGAAAGTGATAATGAATTGCCACCCAACATTATTACCACTCTTTTTGATTTTATTTTTTCAAGCATGTAAAGATAGTCGATATGTCAACACACATAATTTCACACATATCCACAAATGCTAATCCCTTATCAATTTGCTTATACCTAGTACATGCTTGAACGGAGTAGGAAGAAGTTAGACTTATCCAGTCCTACCCCATGACATCATCTTACCATCATTGGTTTGCAAGCAGTATATCTACATAAATAATTCTCTTCTACACCACACAAGTAATATACTAAAAAATTATTACAGATTGTTAACATTCTTACATAATTACATTCTTAGATAATTGTCTTCTACACCACACAAGTAATATACTAAAGAATTATTACATAGTGTTAACATTCTTACCCCACACCCACAATGTTCCATCTAATTAATCATTAAGCCTGTTCTTGCATATATCTTGATTGACACATACCTTTATATTTATGTTTGAACTCATCAATTCTATTACTATTTTTTATGTCCACACTTACATTATTCCATAGTTTTACACCACTTATGGAAATACAGAATCTTTTTTTGGTTGTACGTATAGCATGAATTTTATAATTTAACTGACCCCTTAAATTGTATCCCCCTTCCCTTTCATTAAATAGTTTTTGAATTCCACCAGGTAATAAATTGTTCCTGGCTTTATACATAAACACAGTAGTCTTATATCCCACTAAATCAAAACATTTTAACAATTTAGACTGTATGAAAGCTACATTGGTGTGATCCCTATACCCCATCTTATGCACAATTCTTATTGCTCTTTTTTGTAATATATACAATGGTTGAAGTGAGCTTTTGTATGTGTTTCCCCAGTTTTCAACGCCATACTCTAAGTATGGTAAAACCAATGAAGAATGCAAAATGCGTAGTGCTTTCCCGTCCAACATATATCTAACCCTTGCCAATATCGATATATTTTTTGCTATTTTGTGCTGAACATATCTGATGTGAGATTTCCAGGAGAATTTGTCATGAACTATGACACCTAGAAATTTAATTTCATATACTCGTTCTATATTAGCTCCCCCAATTTTCAATTTAAGTTCATTATCTAGTCTACAATTCCCAAATACCATAAATTTAGTTTTATTTAAATTCAAAGATAGTACACACCATTTCTTTATCTTCTCAAGTTCCTGTGAAACCCGTCCAGAGAGTTGCTGTAGGTTTTCACCCGATGCCCATATGATAGTGTCATCAGCAAACAAAACCACTTTCACTAAATCAGAAACCTTACATATATCATTAATGTATAATATAAATAATTTAGGTCCCAAAACAGAACCCTGAGGCACTCCACATACAATATCCAGCTCACTCGATTGGTATTCACCCAACTTCACAAATTGACGCCTCTGTGTCAAATAACTTTTAATCCATTTCAGAACCATTCCTCTGATCCCATATTTTTCTAACTTGTCCATTAATAATTCATGATTGATTGTGTCAAATGCTTTTTTTAGGTCAATAAATATCCCCATCGTGTATTTCTTCTCATCCATAGCACTTGTAATGTCCTCCATCAGGTCGGTAATGGCCAAAGATGTTGACCGGTTCGACCTAAAACCATACTGGCAATCAGAGAGGATTTTATGTCTATCAATAAATGTGTCTAATCTGTTATTAAAGAGTTTTTCCAGAATTTTTGAAAATTGTGACAACACTTGCTGCTGAGATGCGCTGCGGGTTTTGGTTTTCTGATTTAGTCAGTGTTTAAAATAAATGTTCCCACTGCTGGCCACTTCATTAAGTACATTATGCTGATATGATTTGTTTTTATCTCCAGTACAAAGTTCTTGGGAAGGTTTATCAGTATCTTGTAAATGCTTAGTAGATAACATGCTGTGCCCACAGCTGCAAATGCTCAGGTTCACCTTATCTTAGAGGGAACTGCACCTGTTTTATAGCTCAGTAGCCCCTTTTACACAGAGACTGTGGAAAACTGCCACCCCTGTGTTCCTTTTACACAGCTGCCGAAATCCCGGTACTAGAGCTTTGGTGACGTTCATGTAATTAGCGACCAATTTGAAAACAAAACAAACAGGCAGTTATACGAATTTGTTTGATATGTTTATAAACATAAATTGGTAATTACAGTAGCCTGCTTATATGTGCATCCAGTTTCATGTCAGAAATGTGGCTGTGTTTGTGCTTTAGAATGTAACCACAGTGAAACAGTCACAAAGTAAAGTTTTAATTCTCTGATACTTCTCTAATGCTTCTTGTCTGCATCCTCCTCCTTCCCCAAATTGTGGGAGCTATAATTACAAAGCTTACAGGATGATTGTGCCCCACATCACATAACAGGAGTTACATTAATAAAATATTTTTCATGTATCACTATAAATATTTTTTGGACAATACTAAGTCTTAGATGGGGGGTGTTGTGGGGTGCAGTTGTCTTAATTTTGTATCAGAGTTTGAACCCCCTTCTTCTAATGCATAGTCAGAACTTCTTGACTTTAGCTGCATGCTTTATACATAACTGGTGGTTTGGAGGAGCTGGGAAACATTGTTAGTTGACTTCAGAAGGACCCATGTGGACTATATTGGTGTGTGGAGGAAGTTAATTACCCAGTTTAAAAAGAGAGTGAGCTAGGCATTGAACCCATGTTTGTTGTGACTGATAATTATCTCAGTATCTCTCACCATGAATTGGTTGGTCACAGTGGTAGTTAACAACTCCAATGTCTTCCTCAGTGTCGCCAGTACTGTCAAGCACGCCCTTTTGGTGTGGCTGAGCATCATCATATTCAGTAACCAGATCACCATCCTCAGCGCCACCGGAACCGTCTTTGTGTTCATCGGAGTCTTCTTGTACAACAAGGCTAGGCAGTTCCAAAGGGAATCCTTGCATGCCATGGCTACTGAGCAGAACTACACACCACTGCTGCAGGACCAGAACCATGCTGCTCCATCTCACTGAGGACTGGGCCCCCAAATCATGCTACTTGAAATGGGATTAGGGGTTTATTAACAAAATTGTTCGCTTACCTGTGGTTGTTCAGACGGAATAACTGGATATTTGTTTGTTTTCCACCATGTACACATTCTAGATGAGAGGATACACTCATGTTTTGTTTTTTTTCAGGTTCAGTTCAGTTGATTCTTGCAACTTAAAGGATAAGGTCAGTCATTTTCTATATTAGCAGTATTTTCAGTGTGTCAGTTCTGGATCAGCTTCTTTGTCTGTACCACAGACCTCTGTTGTTGTTCAGAAATGATTAACAACACATCAGTGAAACACATTGCTGCACTGGGTGATGTATTTCTTCATTAACAAACCCCCATCCAAGTGTGAGGAGCTCGCAGACTGTAAACAAAGCATAGAGCTCACACAAGATCTTACACGTGCACAGTTGACTCTGGCTTGTGCTAATTTCGGGAAATTATGGCCACTCAGACATTTTGGGGCAACTGTTGAGTCTGGGGTTTCTTAATGGGAAAAAGTTTCCCTGACGTGTTTTTAATCTTTGAACGACAACGAAGATCTATTGCACAGACAAACAAGCTAATCTAGGACTGACAGCTGACGGACATTAATCATGAGTAGAGACAATTCACTGTCTCTGTATGGAGATTGCTGAAAATACTGTTGATATAGAAAATGACTGGCCTTATCCTATATAATAAACTTTGGTGACCAGCTTGGTCACTAGTCCTGTGGAACACTGTACCCTGTATTTCTTTGTCTCTAACCTGATGAGGACCTACTTACCTTTCATTTCATCCTTGATCCTTTTTCTTTTCTAGTATTGGTCAGTTAAAAGAAAGCTCAGGTTGTCCTTCAGCTTTCTGAGGGAAGTTACTTCTGTAAGCTTTGTGTCTTACATTCCAGAGTGTGCTGGTCTGTCTCATCTGTGGAACAGCAGCTGCTGAATGTATGTTGTAGATATCTGTGCAGCATTGGCGCTATATGATTTTAGCTTTGTGAACCTACACTGTATCATAAAATGTAAACTTTCTCTTGATTCCACTTAATACAAAATGTGAAATGGGCAAAGGTGCCTGACGTAAGAGGCTTGTCCATCCATAGATAGACTGACCTTTTGATACATTTGTAAACAATGTGTGGAACATTTGAAAGGCATGTACTGCATTCTAGGAATGCTCATTGTCTCTCATGAACTGTGGGTGTGGATGGAGTTATCTGTGTTGTTTTGCTTTGTAAAGTGACTCACCCTTGGTGCATGCTGGCACAGGGCTTAGACAATGAATGGATGAACAGGCTGCTGTTTATTACATCATCTTAAAGAAAAAAAAGGCTTATTACAATTTTGTTTTTAGAGCTCAAAAACTGTTTGATTATGTCTACCAATCACATAATGAGAGAGGTTTTAACAAACCCCAAGTTAGTATATAATAATGATGGTTAATTACCCAATAATTAACCAGTTAATACACAACTGTCTGTGGCAAACACAGATTACAAACCCACTTCCTGGTCCAACTTTGACCCACTGTACTTCATATAAGAGTTTGTACTTGCTTGTACAATTACAGATTATTATAACAAATGCGCTCATTTGTTTTACCACCAAATAAAGTGGTAAATCTGGTTTGTTTACAAGTTGTCTGACTGCCTTGTATCTATTTTTAACAATGGTCATGTTCTAAGATCTCAGGTGATTACTACAGAACCAAGGGCACAAAAAAGTCAAACTTACTGTAAGTTCAATAAACCGGTTTTTATTTAAACAGAAAACAATCTTTGTGGCACATTTTTAAAATAGTATAAAACCCCCAAACCTCCCATCAATATTTATTTGTAGGATTTAGTGACAAATATGACGCTGGTGAAAGTGTCATCTCTGTGAGCCATCTTGTGGCTGCTTTAGAACAACCAACATACGTCAGCTCTTGAATAAATTCAACATAAGAGCTGTGATGGCAACTTTTGAGAGGTCAGTGAAACAAGGTGTCTGATAGTATAGATGTGTTAATCACCTTCAGCTACCTGGTTTCGTAAGCACTGCAGTAATGCTTTTTGTGCATTTTGTACCCACCTTGTCTTATACAGTCCTTGACTTGGACATACAGTATATTCTTTAATTTACCTTGGAAATGAGTTCATTCTACACTGCTATTTCTTATTGCTTCAGAGTTTGTTTAATGGTAAAGTGCTTATAAAAACCAGATGTGGGCTATGGTTTAAAATAAATACATTGCAAATATACACTCACCAGCCACTTTATTAGGTACGTCTGTACTATTGTTTGCACTTCAATGCACCACCTCTGCCTTAACATCTGTGTTTATGAAGCTCAAAAAGTTAGTTTTTGGTGAAATTGTCATAAACTGATCAATTAAATGATATGTTTATTATTGAGGTCATAGTTAAAGGTGGTATTGTAGTGGACTACATTATATTCAGAGGTGTTCCTAATATTCTGACCTGCTCATGTATGTAATTGGGGAGGACGAAATATAGAGACACTAATCTTCCATATAAAAAGTCTTTAAAGTGCTGCTTCAAGACCCACGTTCAAACACGAGTTTATCTGTGTATTTGTAGCATCAAAAGTGGAAGTGTTGAGGTGAGAGAGTGGTGGTTATGGGCTGTATGTTTGGGAATGAGCAAATCAGAGAGGTAAAAATATCCAGCGGTATACAGTAACTTGAGGGTGTTTGAATGACAAACATTTGAGTGGTCAGCCAGTATTGACAGTGATTTCATGTTGCAATGCTGATTTACAGTAGCAACTAATGACACACACACTAGTATCTTATATGTAACCAGTCTGTGGAAAAACCATACGCTATCATATATACTGTATTATCTATGCTATGTTTGACCTTTTTGTTGAGCTTGAAGGTTCAGTCTTGACTTTGGAAATTCTAATAAATGATCTTGGTAAAGAATAGTTTTCTGTCTTGTTTTTGCTGTTTTAAATTGCTGACTTTGTCTGCTCTTTGGTTAAAGCCACCAAACCTCAATCGCCCCTGGTGGCTGATTGCTATGTATATGTCATAAATCTCGCCTCTTTGTGGCAGAGGCGGAGCCAGGGGGCCATGGCCGCCCTTGGCCAAAGTCTGGCCAGCCCTATTAAAAAAGTAATGCAATAAGTTATATTGTTTGTATTGTTTATTTATTAGAAAAATCATTTAGTGTTTATGTTCAGGTGATAAGAATACAATGCCTTTAAATAAAAATAAACCTCTAATAAAAAACATAAGAACATGGTCTATTTTAAATACAAGGTTATAATGGTAACACATCTTGTCAAGTAAAATGGATATTTCTCAGTAAACGTGAGCAGCTTTGTTCTGATATTTTCCATCAAAGTTGTCAAAGCTTACATTTAAAAAAAAACTTTTTCAATACTGTCAGTTAAGCTCCTAAAAGTTAAACTTGTTTCACCTGTTAAACCTGGGAATGTCTGAGCTTCAGTAATGTACAGTATATTAAAATCACGTTATTTTTCTAAAATGTTACTGCACTAAAAAGAGAATAGAAACGTACCACAAAGTACAGCAGGAACTGTCTCTCTGTCTTCATCTCTGTTCATCACTCCTGATTCTGTCCCTCTTTCTGATCTAGTTTCATCCTCATCGTCATCCCTCAACAATCATTTCTTCTTCTCCAATTTCCTCATCCCCTCCTTTCCCTCAACAATCATTTCTTCTTCTCCAGTTTCCTCATCCCCTCCTGTGGCTTTGTCCTTCTCTGTCTCTCCTACCTACTCTCTTTTCCATTTCTCTCTGTATCTTCCTCCTGCCCAGTCTTCTGCATTTCCTCACTGAAAAGCTGGAAATACCACTTTTGAAATTCCTTTTGTTGTGATTTGCAATGCAGACCAGTCCAACTAGTGACCTACAGCAGTCGAGATATGAAAGGACCTTGTGGTCAAATACTGGATCCAAACTTTTGATTGGTAGTGTAGATAGTTGTAATAACCACCCCTTTACTAGTCCCGCAATGGGGATATTTACACACACAAGACAACACTGCCCTGGCAGCTACTTGGAGTTCAGTGTCTTATGCTTTGACACGGAGGAGGGGGAATGGGAATCAAACCACCAACCTTCCCCCTGGAAAGTTACCACGTTACCTCCTGAGCCACTGCATTCAATAGCAGCTGCCTCCATATCAACAGCAGCACCAACTACATCCTCCAAAATTTTCATTCGGTTGAACCAATCAAAACATCTGACAAACTGAATATTATCACCTTCACAAAATAAGATTTACTGCAGAAACTGCCAGCTAAGTGTTGTACTTGCTAATCAGTCCTCACAGTGTCTGAAAGTGCCCTTGTAAGGCTACAGTCCCCACAACTCACTCCCTACATGTTATAAATTCAAACACTAAATATAAACTATGGTATTTACTAAAAATTAAGCTCAGGAAATGGACTTCCAAATCACACCTTGTGATGAAAGAGAGAGTGACTTCTCCCCATGGTCCCTTGTGTATCCGCCGCTGGTCAAGAGTGATGTCACCTCAATGGTGGACAGAAAATCTTCATCAGACTCTCATAACTGAAGAAGGTGACGGCATTGACAGGGAATCCCCTCACGCTGTCTAGCCGGAGGCTTAAAGACCCTCATTCCCTCTTCTCTGACGCTCACTGTTATGCAGTGCAGGACGCCCCTGTACTCCCGGCCACCGGCCCCTGACATCTGGAGCCGAGCTTTCACCACGTCCATGGGCGTGGCACAGGCCCAGGTTACCACACCCGCCACGCCACCTGCCATCAATATTGCAAATGTACCTGAGGACAGAAAAGCAATGAATGTAAATCTATGAAGTCATGTTTGTATGATTGTAGATTAAATGAAACCAGGACATTCAGAAGTCCATTTCTGTCAGGACAAGAAAAGTGATCAAATAATAGGAATGACAAAAAAATCCTCAAAATTCAAAATTAAGACTTTAAAATTATAAGATTTACAAATTTAAAACTACAGTAAGTTTATTTATATACTGTAGCACATTTTCAACAGGCAACACACTCGCTAGCTGGGGCAAACTGTAGATTCTCACTGATCCCAATATACTTGTACCCCTTTACTTCAGTCTTCCCAAGACTTCTGAGTAGTTTATACCCGAGGCGGACATAACATAACTAGGTCTGTACCCCACTAAGAATTTTGTTCGTCGATTGTCACTCGACTGTTCAGTGTGACTATCTGACTATTCATTATATATATATAAAACCCAGACTGTCAGAAAATCACCTGGCATGAATTTAAATGCAAAGGAGTGACAGGAACATATTTCTGAGCATTTAAGAATAAATTAAGATAGTTTCATATGATGCAAAAGTTAAATTGAAATCTATTTAAATTGAGGATATATATAATGTGGAGCTGCCATAGGGGATTTGTTAGAATAAGGAGAAAGGCAGAACACTTGTTTGTAGAAACAATGCTTTTATTGGCATTTTCTTTCTAGTTTTATAGCCTGGTTTACCAACTGCTGCAGAGTCATGCTCTCTGTAACTTACCTGGCTGTTTGCCACTCTCAGTCAGGGCATTTCGAATGACCTCATAAGGCAAAAAGTAGAGTCCAAAACAGGGTACGTCCCTCATGGCGAGAGCCAGTCCTCCTCTGAACAGACCCCTGGGTCCCTCCTCCTTCAGGATGACAGCAACACAGTGAATGGGTCCATGGTATCGGTCAGAAGTTGTTTGACCTTGCAGACGCACCTTCACCAGGTCAATGGGTGCAGAAACAAACACCTGAAAGCAGATCAAACTGTTTCATTTTTAAGGTTTTATGACATACAGCTTTCAAAAGCATATCACCAGAAAGTACAAGTCTAGTATTATTTGGGGTTTGATTTACTGTCAAAACTGTTAACAGCATACCATTTAAGCACACTGTTGCACCGAATTTCCTTTTTGGATGCTTTGAAGATAGAGGAGCTTGTTGTGAGTGTCCTCTTAAATTACAAGCTCTGTTTAGATGCCACATCAGCCAACTTTCATAATCTTCAAAAGAAGCTAGAAACAACACTGGCCTGTTTGGTTGGTATAACTGGCGTAGCCTAGGATTACACTATCGAAAGATAAACATCAGGTTTCACCCACATACAGAGGAGTGTCTGTAACACATATCAAATGATATTATAGTTGTTTCTTTTTAGAACTGTGAAAAAAAAAAAGAAAACCATAAAAGCTAGTATTGAATTCAGTCCCTACCTTTGTACACTTAACAATAAACAGTGTCTGGGGGGCCCTTGCATGCTGTTTGTACTGACATTGATACAAAGTGTCTCAAATAGCTGCAAAGTCTTCATGTCAAATGAGGAACTGACTCTTCGAACTGAGAAACATCAAAAAATAAATAAAATGAGCCTGTTTGCAGCATCTGTGTTCAGTTAAATGATTTACTTTACATTTTCAAAACTTAAATTGAGTTCTTCTAATTCACTATCATTAGTTTACTTACTTTTTAAAGTTAATTTGTGACATTTTACAGTGTACTGATACTCGCATCTTTAAATTAGTACAAGTTACTCAAATAATGCATGTTCACTCTAAACACAGTCATTTCACATAGCTTCACGCAGTTTAGTTCACTTAATTTTCCCAAGGTAATCAGCTTCCTTTTAATTAAAGAAAACTTATTAGAATTTACAGTGTATTTGTACCTTCTGCTTTCTGTTTTTATGAGAAATTAATAATTGTAGAGTAGACCTGTAGCACTGTCCATATACTGCAGTATGGATCTCAGTCATGAAATATATCTTATATATATATACATATCATCCTAACATCAGAAGAAGTGGAGCCTAAGTGGAAACTCATGGTTTGGAACTTCTTGGAAGCATCCTGGTAGTCAAAAAATAAAATATTTTGCATACTGATTGTCATGAAAGTGAGTGATTTTGGTGAAAGCCTGACACTTCCATCTACAGAAAACAATCTTTGTGGCACATTTTTAAAATAGTATAAAACCCCCAAACCTCCCATCAATATTTATTTGTAGGATTTAGTGACAAATATGACGCTGGTGAAAGTGTCATCTCTGTGAGCCATCTTGTGGCTGCTTTAGAACAACCAACATACGTCAGCTCTTGAATAAATTCAACATAAGAGCTGTGATGGCAACTTTTGAGAGGTCAGTGAAACAAGGTGTCTGATAGTATAGATGTGTTAATCTGCTATTGTTTCAGACTTAATTTCCACTAGAACATAAGAACTTTACATGACTGACTGTTACACTTCCGATTCTCACAAACCCTTGGCCTCTCCTGTGTTGGAGCCTGGTCAAACTTCATATTTTTGTCCCCAATCTGTCCAAGCCTTCTATTCAGTGAGATGTAATGAACATTACAACTTCTAGGCATCAGTAACACTTACATAGGGTGGGGGGAGCACTGGCTATATGAAACTAGAAACGATGTTAAGGTTACCTCTGTGGAAGGAGAGTTTTCTTCTGTGGAAAGACAGTTTTCACAACCTTACAATAGTAAGTTTAATAGTAAGCATTTGTGGAGCCCAGACAGTCAGCATGCCACTTTGGAGCATGCTGCAAGTGCTTTAAAAGAAATCAACAAATTAGGTGTTCTTACCTGTGCCAGGCCTGCAAAGCATCCAGCAGTGTAGAACTGTGCAGCAGAGGCTGGTTTCCCACAATGGGATTGAGTGAGGTAATCTAAGGCATTATTGTATGAGCCAAAGCTAACAGAGGTGGTGATGCCAGTGGTTAGCACTGGAAACAACATGCCCTTGAAGAATCCATGGAGCTGGTGTAATAAAGGTTGTGAGAAACAGATCAATTAAGCATACATTAATATTGCCTCCCATCTATTTTCTGGCTGATGCTGGGGCTACTGGGACTTCAGGACACCTACCCCTTCATGAGAGTATGTTTTAGCCACACAGTGAAATATTCCTTTGTACACAGACTGGGCCTGCAGACGCACCTACAAATAAAACAGGAGGTGTCAGAACAGGTTAGTTTAATACTTTTATTAGTGTTTATAGCTTTCAGTGTGTCATGCAACCTTCACAGTGTCTAACGGATGTCCGACTACCATTCCCACCGCACCTATAATATAATAACCAACAAGGAAATGTTATTTCTCCACATGTATGCAAATACTATACTACAAATACCACTGTATTTAATCAACTTCTCGGTTCAGTCACAAGTATTTTTTCACCTGAAATGCTCCCAGCTATGAATTCCAAAAAGGGCATGATTTTTACAGTTTCACAACCTGCAAAAAAGACCAGTGTGATTCACTTGTTATAAAGATAATACCTAAGGATGCTGCTGTGACTATAGACTACCAGCCAAGGATATGACTAGTACTCACACAAGACGTAGCCTACATTAACATCAGATTACATGTGATGGCAAAATCTTGCTAAACTCGAATAAAAATGTAACACAAATGTAAACCTGTTCCACACAAATATTCCTATTATACTTTCACCGAATGAAGACGCAATCAAATTTGTTAAAAGTAAAAATACCGCAGTGTAAAAATACTTTGTTACAAGTCCTGCATTCAAAATGTTACTTAAATACAAAAGGATTAGTCTCAAAATCCAGATCTAAGGTAATTTAAAGCAAAAGTCGTTATGCAGAATGGCACATTAATGTGTATTATATTATTGGATTATTATTATTATTGATGCATTATTGTGTTCATCGCTTTAATGTTGCATCTGGTAAACTAAGTTGGTCTTCTGCTGGAGGGCCTCTTGTGCAGAGGATTTAACGTCATATGACGACGGGTGAGTATATTTATTAAACACTGGTGTGCAAAACCGTTACACGAATGCCTGTCTTTAGGTGTTTTATTTACATGATGCATGCAAGGAAAGTGTGTTAACTTAAACTAGTCGGCTTACCTTTTTCATAAAAGTCACCTCATTGTGTAAACCTTATGATTCACGGTACGAATCCTACACACATAGTCAAATCTTTATGGGTCGAACCGAGATTTAAAAGGCAACATTTCCCGTCTGACCTGGCTTCAAAATAAGAGGATATACATTACTGTGGCCTTTCAAGGCAACTTATCTAAACATACCCAGAGGATCTGCATGTGCGATCGCAAATGTCCGAAATAGACACGTCAACTTTGTTCGGAGTTTGTTCCAGGGTGTTATACCGAGTTCTGCCTGCCGAGAACAGCTTGGCCATACGGGAGCGCGCACAGCTCAAGCAACAACTATCAGACTCAGGTTTTATAAATGTACAGTGTGCAGCTCCACAATGAAATATGATTTTACTCAGAATATATTAAATCAAAAAGAAAAGGTATATAAAAATCAAACTCAATATGTGGCAATCAATGCTGATTTTGGGACTATTTTTGGGACTATAATGGAATAAATTCTATTACAGCCGCAAAAAAAAAAAAAAAAAAAAAGGCCAAGCAACGTTTCTAGATTTGAAAATGAAATAAATGAAATCCCTGATTATTAATATTCCTATTCAAAATGTTTGGCAAGAACAGTGGGATGGGTGTGAAACTGGTAGACATTTGTATAAGGTCCAAAAGTTGGTTGGATACCAATAGGCGTGGACTGGTACTAGAAAGGTTGTAATTTGTAAATGTAAGTGTAGTAACTTGCTTGAGAATAGGTCACACAAGTTTTAAATGATACCCTGCACAAAATAGGTAAACACCCTACAGGTCTTTGTCCACATTGTAGTCAGCTATATAAGGCACCCCTGTGCAATATCCTGCTGTCTAATCAGCATCTTGATATGCCACACCTGTGAGGTGGATGCATTATCTCGGCAAAGGAGAAATGCTCACCAACACAGATTTAGACAGATTTGTGTACAATATTTGAGAGAAATAGGCCTTTTGTGTACATAGAACAAGTCGTAGATTTTTGAGTTCAGCTCATGAAAAATGGGGGCAAACACAAAGTGTTGCGTTATTGTTGTTTTGTATATATATATATACACACACACACACACACACACACACCCACACACACACACACACACACACACACACCTTCGACTCTATTCGTTCCACACTCCCGCCCAGCAGGTGGCGGTAATGCGTCTTAGGTTGGCTTACGAACAACGAGAAGGAAGAAGAAGAAGACGACGAAGTAACGTCATCACTAATGGACGAAAAGCAGCTTGTAAACAACAAGTGACGTTAATGCGGTGCGCTAAGAAGGTTTGAATTGGTTAGCTGGTTAAAGACCGCGTTTTGGGACGTGACATGGATCAAATCTTCAGTTCATTTAAAAACCCGTCTCTGTAGTTTTTGTAATATCTTTATAAAAACTGGCATTTTAGTTCTTTTGCCATAGGTTGACATGGTTAAGGCTGGCAGCAACAAAAGAAGGATGTCGAAGTAAAAACAGCAATTAGATAAGGAACGCTTGACATACTACCGCTTTTTAAAGGTTAGCTGGACAGTTAACTTGGCCGGTTGTTTTATTTGACAATTTTCGGGAAGACAACCATGACAACTCTAACAAGACAGGACCTCAATTTTGGACGAGGTAACGTTAAGCCATCCAGACTAGCATGAAATGAAAATGATCTTGTAGCTACAAAACAAATGCCCAGCTAAAATCTAGGTATGTTAGCTAAATCTACAGTCAGGGAAAACATTTTTTGAACCCCAGCTGATTTTGTAAGTTTGCCCACTAACAAAGAAATGATCAGTCTACAATTTCAATGGTAGGTTTATGTGAACAGTGAGAGACACAACAATAACAAAAAAATCCAGAAAAATGCATTACAAAAAAAGTTATAAAGTAATTTGCATTTTCATGAATGAAATAAGTATTTGATCCCCTATCAGTCAGCAAGATCTCTGGCTCCCAGGTGTATTTTATACAGGTAACGAGCTGACACTGGGAGCCCTCTCAGCTCGCTACCTGTATAAAAGAGACCTGTCCACAGAAGCAATCAATCAATCCAGATTCCAAACTCTTCACCATGGCCAAGACCAAAGAGCTTTCCAAGGATGTCAGACAGGATTGTGGAGCTACACAAGGCTGGAATGGGCTACAAGACCATCGCCAAGCAGCTGGGTGAGAAGCTGACAACAGTTGGTGCGATTATTCAGAAATGGAAGAAACAAATTAACTGCCAGTCTAAATCGGTCTGGAGCTCCATGCAAGATCTCACCTCGTGGAGTTTCAATGATAATGAGAACGGTGAGGAATCAGCCTGGAACTACTCGGGAGGAACTTGTCAATGATCTCAAGGCAGCTGGGACAATAGTCACCAAAAAAACAGTTGGTAACACACTACGCCGTGAAGGACTGAAATCTTGCTGTGCCCGCAAGGTCCCCCTGTTCAAGAAAGCACATCTACAGGCCCATTTGAAGTTTGCCACTGAACATCTGACTGATTCAGAGGAAGACTGGGTGAAAGTGTTGTGGTCAGATGAGACCAAAATCGAGCTCTTTGGCATCAACTC